CATTTATACAGTCTGGGATCCCAGTGTAGGAAAATGGCACCAGCTGCAATGAATCTTCTCACTTCCCTTTACCTAGCAAATATAATCATTCACAGTCCTGTTCAGAGCTAAATCTAGCATAGATAATCTCCGACAGGTGTGCTCAAGTCTTATCTCTGCTTGATCTTGTCAAGTCCACAATACTAACCACTACTCCCAGTTTGATATGATAGAATAGATAATCTATCTCATTGTGTATGCTGGTTCAATACAGTTGTAGTAACAGAGCAATAGGCTGAGTAAATTGCAATGAAAAGAGGCTTGTTTAGGGGCAAATTTCTTAAGGTTGGAAATCTCATGGTCAGGTACCATCATTTGGGGTGAGACCCAACATTTGCCAACCCACAACACAAAGTGAAAGGCTGCAGATAGGCATGCATAGAATGAATGGGATGGATGGACTTGCTTTATGACACCTACTGTCTGAGAGGATGGGTGTTTTACAGATAAGGTCTCACTTAAGAGCTCTAGGTGGTATGAAACTCAATATGTAGTAGATCAAGCTTTCCTTGCACTTCTGAGTATTCTCCTGACTCTGATTTTTGGGATTGCAGCAGTGTGTTGCCATGCCCTGTTGCATATAGCTTTTTGTTTATATAGCCATAGTGAAGCTATCCTATGCATTATACACATATCACACACACACACACACACACACATACACACACACACAGTGTAAACTGCTCAAGTAATGTATATCTGTAACACAGAACCAAGGAGAATGATGCAGGATAATATTGAGTTCAAATCCAGCCTAAGCTTCATAGTGAGTTTTAGGCCACTATTCGTTATACAACATGACCCTGTCTGAGACAAAACCAAAAAACCAAACCAACCAACCAACAAACAAATAAGCAAGCCCTCTGAAGATGAGCATGTAGTTCATTGTCCATCTCCATGGACCTTGAGTTTGATAGCCCAGCCTCATTGAAAATACAGCAATGAAACTGCCTAATGTATAAAGACATCAACTTTCATTGTAAACGTGTGTGGATTAAAGGGTAGATCAGTAAACATCAAGAAAATCACAATGGAAATGTGATTGTCTTATGGCATTCCTAATATAAATTAACTCCCAATAGACACAATTAAAAACAAAAAGTAGTATTTTCTCTGAAATATAAATAAATATTAATCTAAAGCAAAATTCCTGAAAGTATTGAAATTTGGAACTGAAGAATTTAGTCATCCCATTTATTCTATACACCCTCATATTTATATAAAGCTGTCTCAGTCATCTCTTCTAAACAACAGCTTCTTTTAAGTATATTATGTTTTCTCAGAGCATATTTTCCTTTATCCTTTCAGTCCCAAAATACTGATAATAAACATGATCTGATGCATATGAAGTGGGGATCATTTCATATGCAGGAATGCATTGCTCATGTTTACTATCTTTCAGTATCAGCTCTTAACATACAATTTCCTCTTTCTGCTCTGGTCAAGAGGAGGGGCAGAACTTTAAGAACAGAAGTATTATGTAGAAGGACTCTCTTCTCTGCTTCCTTTGAAGTCTCTGAGGGAATATAACTTGTTCCTCATCCTCAGTTCCCACCACCTGCATCATCACCTGGTTGGGGTACAGGTAACTGCCACTTTGATTCCTTCAGATTTCTCTATCACAGGACCATACTTATTCTAGAGAAATATCATTCAGCTACAAATGACCTGCATGATGGTGACAGAGATACGTAAGACAATTGATCATGTTAGAACTGCATTGTCTGCCTATGAACATTGGAGATAAGCTTCAAGAAAGGAATTTTCATTTATTGTGCTACGATTTTCTTGTGAGTGGTGTAAAGAGAGTGATCATGATTAGCAGAATTACTTTGTGACTATTTCAAGTGGTTTACATAGCTTTTTCTGCACTTTGTAGAATTTTATAATAGGAATCCATTTTATTTTTAGAGTATTAGGAAAACTGTAAATGTATTTAGAAAATTTCATCAATAAAATGTATTAGATATACTAGAAATGAATAGAGTTCATCAACAATTTTTAATATCTTTTTTATTCATTGCCCCTTCAAATAATGTTTAATGGAAGAGGCAAGGTAAATCATGAGTACTTATAAATTAATAATTTGTATATTCATTACTATCCTAAGAATGAATATTTTATGAGCATTTATGATGCTTACTAACAAATTTTCATTCATTCTTTCTATTTTTTGAGACAGAATCTCTTTCTGTAGTCTTATCTCTCTGGAAATTTCATATCTAGATGTTCCGCCTGCTTCAGGTACCACTGTAGAAAAATTTTAGTTTTATGCAGGACTCTCAAGTAACATTATACATTTTACTTTGCTTTGTGGAATGTTCATGTCCATGGAACCCTTTGCAATTATGAATACAGGTGTTTTGGCTTTTAGTAAGAAGACTTTTATTATCATATCTGGGATCTGATTTTAATTTTCTGTATTATTCCTTTCATATAATCCTTTGGACATTGTTTCTGGCATACACTTTATAAAAATTGTCAAAAGAAGACTAGATCATTTTATATCCATGTGAATATCACACCATTTACAAAAGCTTTAAAAGCAAAGAGATTTGTCTCTAGGCAAGTTTTCAGTTTTTGATGTGTTGATAATCATTTTAAAACATGTCAGTTACTTAGGTGGCACCAGTTTTGTCAAACATTCTTACGGCCATGTTACCACTCAGTCTTTATTTGGAAATTCAAGGTGTTTTACCATACCTCCAAACAATCATTGATGTGACCACTAGTTAAAAAGTTTTATCATATGTTGTGGAAGCCAGTCACCTTCCACACTCTTTACAGAATTCAGATCCTTAACGGAGTTAGTAATCTTCCACCCTACCCCAACACCAAATTCTAAAATGTTCTAAACTTGGACATTCTACTTTTTTCTTTACCTAAACATCATTTCAAGACAAAGTTTTAATTTAAACCTTCATTACTTCTATCCAAGATGAGGAATCATCAGGTGACATCTTCAGCCTCAAGAGATTTTGAGTTTTCTTCAGATTCACAGTGTACAGCCAGTCCTCATGAGACTCAAGGTCCAAGAGAGGCTGGCCACAAAGGTGAGTGCTCTCCTCTTAAGCACTATACACACCAAACATTTAAAACTGTCCCAGCCTTTCTACTTATTGCCAAATGGTAATAGGAGATCACCACAGGAAGAAGTGAGGACTTACAAGCTTTTTAAAGAAATAACCTTTGAGACTAGAAAAATCAATAATTTATTTTGCATTTGTTAGTTTTTTATTGTTTACTTTTTGAGTCAGGGTGTCATGTAACCAGAACCAAGCTTAATTGTGCTATGTGGAAAACGGTGGCCCAGAATCCTTTTTTCTCCTAGCACAGCCTCTCAAGTTGTGGGATTATAGTTGTGAGCCACCTAGCCTGCTTTGAATACATTTTTTACAAATTTGAGAAACCAACAAGTTTTAGTTCATTTTATCACAATATGATTTTAAATGTGAGGCCTTTAGAAAGAGAAACTACCTTCTGAAAAAAAAAACTGAATTTTCTAAAAAAAAAAATACAATCTTTAAGTAATGAAAAGTATAGCCAGACAGTTGTGGCACAGCACTTGGGAGGCAGAGACAAGCAGATCTTTGTGAATTCAATGCCAGCCTGGTCTACAAGTGCTATTTCTCTGACAGGTTTCATAGCTACAGAGAAACCCTGCCTCAAAAAAAAATGTTGAAAGCAAAGCTCTTACTAAACGAGATATTCCAAGTGTTTCATCAAACTTCACTGTAATTCATCATCAACAGGCAGATCAGAAGAGAGGTCTAAATTCTTTACATTCTTTCTCTTGCCCTTCAAATATTGTCCCATTTAAACACTAATCTGAACACTTTTGCTACATTAGTGTGATGATAATGAGTTGCAGGACCCTAGAACCCAAGACCTCAAATCACAAGGATAAATATCTTATTTTCCTGAGAAAAACAGAATTTATGGACAGGGAAAGAGCTGACTTCTAGCAATTCTTTTATAATGGACCCTTATAGAGTTCAGAATTTTCATACTGGCTACCAGTTTCTCAAGGTTTCTAGAGGTTGATCTTTCTTTCCTCTTCATGCTGAGTTATTTGGAGTTTCCTACCTGCATTTTGCTTATGACTTCAGTGTTTTGTAAGGTGAGCTACCTGGGCACAGCTTAAGCCTGTCACTCCAGCCTCCTGTGAGACTGAGTCAAGGCTGAATGGGCAAAAATTATCTAAACTCCTAAATAACTGCTTCTGTATATAGGGTATAAACAGAATAGGTATGTGTCATCCAGAAATATAAAAGTCAAACATTTTAGAGTTCATTAGAATTTATTAATTATATAAAATAAAGGATTTCACTATGACTTTTGTATATGAATATAATTTACTGATCATTATTATCCATAATTCCCCTTTTCCTGTTACCCTTTCAGTACCTTCTAATGCTTCTACTTTGATGTATTGTCTGCATTGCTTCCTGTCCCTTTAATTATTAGTTACATGTGTTACATATTTGTAATCGATCCTTCCATTTAGTGCTGTTCACATGCATATGTTTTAGAACTGACCACTTGGTATTAGATATCCACTTATGAGCTCATTCCTACAAGAGATTTAATTTCTCACCTGTCATCAATTATCTGTAGTTCTTCACCTAAGACTGGAATTCTGTGAAGATTTCCCCTGTACATATTGGCATGTGTTGCTTAGGTTACGCTATTTTTGAGACTGTCTGATTGCAGCTTCCCTGTCTAGAGTCTGTATTTTATATTCTCTAGTCCTCTCCTCTGAGCTGTTCCCTGAACCTTAGGTGTAGGAGTTAGTTTGTATTCTGGAATTTTATTTAAAACATTAGAGTTTATCATCCATTTGTCACATGATGCTCCAGGTTATAGCTAGTGGTGAATGATGGGATGGTCCTGGTGATGATTCTCTTACCAGTTCTGATGTCTTTATAGTATTCAATCTCCTTACACCTCATTGCAGTGGCTCTCGGGATCCTTTGCTTACTTCTAATGATGGCAATCGCAGTGTGGCTGACATACAGTGAGTAATTCATATACATCATATGCCTAGGTACTAGCAATAAACTCTAATAATGCCATATAATATAATTAATTTGTCTGTCATCAGGTGACATTTCAGGTATACTGGAATTTTTTTGTTTTCCCCTTGACTCCTGAACCCTTGGGCATTACAGTGACTCTGGGGGTGCCTTGGACTTATTCTGTTTTACTCAAAATAATATTCCCTGTGATAATATGTATCACTGATATTCTGCTTCCCTAGCTCTGATGACTTTGAATCTTACATAGACAACTTGTAAAAAAAATAGCTGTGCAAAATAAATTACATTTTCTTATGGATATTGAGGACATGGTTAAGTGAAGTTTTAATCTGTACACAGAAGTTAGAAGTTCTAGAACTTTTGTTTTACCTTTTATTTGATGTCCTCACATCTTTAGAGAAAACCACTGATGGGTTAAGCTCCAACAAAGCTGGAAATTTGCATATTATTGTCTCTTCTATGGTGGGTAGTCCATCTGCTCCAATGATAACTGGGATATTACTATACGTTTCTTAGTTCAAATTTTCATGCCGTTTTAGGTGTCTCTAACTATTTTATTTAAGTATTTTTTGTTAGTTTTTTTTGTTGTGAAAAAATGAAGTAATCAGAACATAAACTGTTTCCACCATAATATTTTTAGCTATCTTACCCTAAAACTCCCAATAATGAAAGTTCATTTTTTCATTCTTATAGTGAGTTAGTTGAGGTGTTAATTTTTAAGTATCAAAATAGCAATCAAAATAATGATATGTATTGGCTGTCAACAGGAAGATTTTCTCTAACCTTAAATTTCAATACATATGCTTTATAAGCATTTTTATTTTATCTTTTACTAATTTTATTTTTTTCAATATAGCCAAGAAAAAATAAAAACTGAAAAAAAACTGTATATAACCTCAATTTCTACAATTAACTGATTTGTTAATTTCTAAACTTTAACATAGAAATTAAAGTAATGATATGTGCTGGTGTAAAATGAAGCTTTTTCTCTAATCTTCTATTTCAATACTTATTCCATATGAACATTTTTTGATGTTATATCTGCTACTAATTTTAGTTTTTCAGTATAGTGAAAAAAATCATAATCTGCAGAAAACACTAAACGACCTCACTCAACAGTATCACACCCTGCAACGGAGCAACTCCTTAATGAAAGAAATGCTGAGAAATAAGTCTAGAGAGCTTGATGACCTCAAACGACAGAAGGAACTTGACTCCTCCAGCAGAGAACAGAACAGATTCTGTGGGGAAACTAAGGTTTTAGATTTCATACAGTTCCCAGGTATGGAGGGGACCTTGAATAAAGTATTTGACTTTTCGGTACTGACTCTTCTCCAGAAGATTTGAAATCCAGTTAGCTGTTTTTAACACTGGTGATCTGTGGATTAAATGTTGAGATTTCTTTACTTCATGTAGGGGTAAGGAACCCTGGAAATCCTTGTTTGGGTTAGGATAATCTTTTAGTATCTAGAACTCAGGGGTCATCTGGTGCTCCTACTGCTGCTACCAGCGCATGGAATTACAATTCATCACAGCTAAGAATTCAGGTCATTTTTGCTTATGGAAAAATCTAAATCTCCAACTTTGTATTTGTCAGAACGTGAAGTTTTTAGTAAAAATGTATTTACAAAATATTTAGAATAAAATGAACATAGAACAATTAGGTGGATGCAATCACAGAAATAACTATGTTTGTGTGTGTTTTCTTCTGTCTTGTTATGACAAAGTTGGCCTGTTTGTGACTAAGATATTCTCTCTGAAGTTCACATGGGAGTCTCACCATGGCTGTTCACATTCATGCACGTCTAACAGTAACACTATTAATGACATCTGAAAGACAAACATATCAAGTGTTATGAGAATTTATTTTTATTTTGCATCATGACTAGTTATCTTAATTGATACAACTGATCAATAATTATTAAATAATTTTCAGGATTTATAATTTACAAAATGCTTTTGTATATGATCTTACTGTGCTGATAGTAGGTATTGACAATTTCATTATACACGGATTGGTAATATCTTTAAAATTGCTACATTGTAAAATATGTGACAGGAAAAAAAGCTCCAAATTTTTTTTTTGAAATATTCCAGACCCATGAAAAAATTTTGTGTCATTATTTATTTTTTAAAAACTTTATCATCTATAAATGGTAGCTTAACACTGCAATCCCTGTACGTAGGAGACTGAGGCAGAAGGATTGTACATTTGAGAACAGTCTATGTAGCCTAACAAATTTCAGGCCAGCCTGAATTACACAATTATAGCTCTTCATAGGAAAACAAAGATTGAAGATAAAGTTTGATAACTGAACATGGCTGTCCCTATCTCCTCAATAAACAAAATAATTGTATTGAGGTGTTGTTGTTACACAAACTGGACACATTTTATTGTTTTAAACTTGACATGTTTGGGTATGTGGGTGTACCATTGAATGCATCAACATAATCAGAACAGACTATCACCTTCACAATCTCTCTCATATGTCTCATATCTCTTAAAATAAAAGCATCTAACATAGAGCACAGCATAACTCTAAAGGCATAGTATGTGTGAACCAGTGTAGGCACAGGACATTACTATTAATCTAGAATTCTGTCATTCTTGTAATAGTCTTTGAGCAGAAAGTGTTTGTTCTCCACCCTCAAGATTTTTGTGTTTTAGATGGTTTTGTTTCTTAGGCTTGGGCTGTGTTAGAACCTTCATCTGATGTTGAGGGAAGGGTCACTAGTTGGTCCTGGCCACCTGTCTAGCTTAGACCAGAAATAATCACACAGAATCTATATGAATTAAATCACTGTTTGGCCCATTAGCGCTAGCTTCTTATTGGCTACCTCTTACATTAACTTAAGCCATTTCTATTCATCTGTATATCACCACAAGGTCGTGGCCTACCAACAAAATTTCAGCACATCTATCTCTGGTGGCAGCTATATGGCATCTTTCTGTGACACTGCTCTTTTTCCTCCCAGCATTCAGTTTAGTTTTCCCACCTACCTATGTTCTGCCCTATCAACAGTCCAAGGCAGTTACTTTATTCATTAACCAATAAAAGCAACACATAGACAGAAGGACCTCCCACATCAATCTGAGTTGAATCATAAAATTTAGTTCTGGGCCTGGATTGTTTCATTTTACACACCATACTCAAGTTCATCTATGTTTGTCACAGCGGTGCACATCTGTATTGGTGATGTTGAGGTGTTGAGGCTCATTTGGTAGCCCAGCCTGTCTTAGAATCTACTTTCTAACCAATTCTACTATGGAAGTTACCTCTACTTAGCCTAGGCTGGCCTCAAACTGCTGGTGACCCTCCTGTCTCACTCTCTAGAGTGCTCAGGTCATGGGCATAAGCCACTATGCCCAGCCAATTTACTTCCCTTTAAAGGATAAACAGTATTGCTTTATGTTTATCTGCTATATTTTTCATACTGATTTATCCACAATGGACACATCAGCTGTTTCCATATCTGTTATAAACAGCATTACATAAAGCATGGGTGTACTGGAGTCTCTGCATTCTAGAATTTCAAATTCTGAGAGCTGTGATAATTTTCTTAGTTATAGAGGCTTGACAAATGCATTTCTCTGATAATAGCATGTCAGAAATTAAGAAGTTTAATCATCTTCTCTGTTGTAGGCAAATATGTTAAAGGTCAATTTTTCTGCTGTGGCATAAAATGTTATTTCATCATGGCAAATAAACACTGGAGTGGATGTAAACAGACCTGCCAGGACTGCAACTTCTCCCTTTTGAAGATAGATGATGATGATGAACTGGTATTGTAGACTCTTACTTTTTATCTTAGACTCTGTCTTTGATCTTGGATAGTGAGGCACTGAGTGCAGGTAATTTTTTGGTTGTATATAGTTTGCCTGTAATGTGAATAAATCTGTACAGTAAGAGTCTCCCAGGAAACTCACTCCTGCTCCTGTCTTATTGTCAGGATACAGGGTCTTTTACAAAGAGACTTGATGTTTAGGAGACAACTGTGCTTTGCATTCTCCTCCCTTTCTCAGGATTCTGCAAGAGGATCCCTCAAAGAAGGAAGTTTTCCCTGAATAAGCTTAACCCTTTAGTATATAATATCGTGATTGATATTTATTTATTTCCACAAAGTACCAACTACATTTGCCAAGAGCCTAGTGCTTTCTTCTTGAAATCCAAAAGTGAGACTGTCTGAAATGATCAGTTGGATAGAGAAATTAACTGACCACTAGGCCCATTTGCAAAATGGAAATTATATAAGTGTAGTAAAAGGGAAGGGCAGGCTGCGTTCCCGCCACCAGGCTCCCAGCCAACTTTACCCAAAATAGTTACATGGAAACTTTATTCATTTAAACACTGCCTGGCCCATTAGTCCTAGCCTCTTACTGGCTAACTCTCACATCTTGACTAACCCATTTTTAATAAACTGTATGCCACCACAAAGTCGTGGCTTACTGGCATGAGTCTAACCAGTGACCATCTTGGGAAGGGGAATCATGACGTCTGCCTGACTCTGCTTTCTTTCTCCCAACCCACCTTTCTGTCTACTCAACCCACCTAAGGGCTGGCCTATCAAAAGTCCAAGGCAGTTTCTTTATTAACCAATGTAAATAACAGATAAAAGATCCTCCTACATCATTTCCCCTTTTTCTGTTTAAACAAAAAGGAAGGCTTTAACTTTAACATAGCAAAATTACATACAACAAAACAGTTATGAATCAAGAATTGCAGTTACAATATATCTATTTTATCTTTTATCATAACAATGGAAAACTATAACTATCTATCCATTCTTCAACTCCATCAAAGACTCCAGAAGGATATAATATTATCTAAGTAAACAAGAACTTAGTAAACAAGAAACAAGTAAGTAAGTAAGCAACTTCCAAAACTCTAGAAATGACAGAGACATCTTGCTGTCTGGACAGTCACCCAAAGTTTTTTTGTACCATTGGGGCATCCATCTTCAGCCTTCAGGCCCATAGTATCTAGCAGACATTTCCATGAAGCAGGAAATTTCAAAGGCAGTTCAGCCACTATCTGTTGTGTCCTGCAGAATGTCTCACAGACTCTTTTATGAATCAGGAATCCCAAAAGATCATCTCACCTTTAGGCAAGTTCAGCAGTCATCTCTCTGCAGGTTCTTTGTGTCCAGTTTATGCATCAGTCCAGGCAAGAGCAGTTTCTTGCCCAAATGGCTAACCAACTCCATAAGGAAACCTTTTAATGCCCATCTTCTTCTTGAAGTAGATTGGTGCTGCCAGGAGCAGATGTGTCTCATTGTCATAAAAAGCCATAAATTATTAAAACATTAAATGTCATATTCTGTAGTCTTTGAAAGATATGAAGAATGCCTATCTAACTGAAATATATCTCTATATATCTAGAAAATCTAACTAACATGACTACAAGCTTGATTATTATTGATGATTATCCATTATCAACCTATATTTCCTAATTATGCATTACATTTTTAAAATGAACTATACAATCACAACACCTTAATCAATATCAGAAATACATATACATATAACAGAATTGACTTTAAAATCCATACCAATGCAAATTATTCATATCTGTATCATATCCCCCTTTAAATGTAAAAGAAAATTTACAAACAATATTTGGGAATATGGACACAGTTTTTTTCTCTCCAAACTGCTTCCTGCTATATGGGGGCATTGTTATTTAGGTATTTCATGGTATAACCTGTGTGCTAGTTTCATCTCAGTTGGCAGTTGAATGAAGTTATTTTCTGAAGGTGTTCACAGTGACCTTTCAGGAGAGCATAGTCTATCATACCATGTTGGGATAGAAGGAATCCACAGGGTTTCATCCTCTGTGAAAACAAAAGAAGAACCTCTTTTCCAAAGCATCATCTTCTTAGACCCAAATTTTGAAGTCATTATACTTTTAGAACATACATGTTGGATCAGCTTAGCAGCCCACACAATGAAATGTCTCTCTGTATTTAGCTCCTTCACAGTCAAAAAATTAAAAAAAATACAATATACAAAATCCAAACTCTGTGAATTTTCCATTTTTACATTGCTTATTTTTATTTATTTTTTAATCTATAACTATCTGTATTCTGTCTCTTTAAAGACTTACCCTTTTTTAAGGTATTAACTTTTTCTCTATAGTCTTTTTGTTCTCTCTCCCAAGCCTACATATGTCTAACACTATGACCCATTTAAGGTCTTTTATGTCTGAATCTGTCCTATTGCATTGCCTGTAACTTTTTTACTGACCAGGAGCACTTCTTAAAATGCTAAGCACTTCTTAAAAACTAAGTTGCACCATGTAGAGGTGATACAGTACTGCCTATTTACTGCCCAGTCTAAACCTTAACTGTGCTGTTATTATGATAATTATGACAGTTCCTGCCTGAGATCAGCACAGTTCAGCATGGCAGAGCCACTCTTGCCATTTGGTGCCCCTGAGCAGAGCACAGTTCCAGGTACACAGCAGTCCTCATTGCCATCAAGTAAGCCTTAGCACTTTACTCACAAAACCCCATCCCAGAATTCTGTTCTGTCTACTCCACCCACCTGGTCTCACTGTTGGTGGTCCCACAGACTGCCCAACCCACAAAGCCATTATCACATTCATAGTTTGGTCCTATGTAGGTTTCTGCATTATTAGTCCTAAGTCAGTGAGCTCCCACTAGCTCAGGTCTACTGTTTCTGTGGGTATCCGATCATGGTATTGTATCGACCCTTTTGCTTATATTATTGTTACTTTCTCTCTTCAGTTTGTCTCCAGAAGTTCAGACCAGTGCTTAGCACAGGATCTCTGCATCTGCATCCATTAGTTGCTGGATGATGTCTCTAGGTAGTCATTAATCTGGTTGCAGGGGAAGGCCAGTTGAGGCACCCTCTCCACTATTGCTTAGGGACTCAGCATGGATCATTCAAGGTAGCCGACTGAATGGGAAAAGATCTTCAGTGACTCCACATTGGACAGAGGACTAATCTCCAAAATATATAAAAAAAAATGAAGAAACTAGACATTAAAATGACTAATGATACAATTTAAAAGTAGGGTCCATATCCAAACAGAGAATTCTCAACAAAAGAATATCAAATGCCTGAAAGACACTTTAGAAATAGCTCAACATTTTTAGCCATCTGGGAAATGCAAATCAAAACGAGACTGAGACAGCAAGTTATATCAGTTAGACTGACTAAGATCAAAAACACCAATGAAAGCCTATTCTGGAGAGTTATTGCTGGTGGGAGTGTAAGCTTGTACAGTCATGTTGTAAACCAGTATGGAAGTTATAGCAGTTTCACAAAAGTTTGAGAATCAGTCTATCTCAGGACCAAACAATGCCACTCTTGGGCATATGCTCAAATGATGAACACTCATAACACAAGAATATTTGCTCCACTGTGTTTATGGCAACATTATTTGTAATGAAACCTGGAAACAATGTATATGCCCCTTAAATGAAAAATAGATAAAGAAAATGTGGTATATTTACACAATAGAGTATATACAGTTAAAAAAAAAAGCAATGACTACTTGGTCCTTGTACCTTGCTGTTGGGGATTTTCTTTTCTTCTTTCCCATCCCCTCTCTCTTTCCCTCCCTCCTTTTCCCTCTCTCTCTCTCTCTCTCTCTCTCTCTCTCTCTCTCTCTCTCTCTCATTTTTTTGAGATACGGTTTTTCAGTAGCTACAATTCACTCTGTAAACATTCTGGCCTCAAACTCACAGAGAACCACCTGCTTTTGCCTCCTCAGTGCTGGGTTTAAAGGTGTTTGCCACCACTGCCCAGCAGGATTTTCTTTTATGATTCAATGTTTGGTATTCTGTAATCTTCTTTCTTGTACCTTCTTTCCTAACTTTTTTCTTTAGGTTAGAAAATTTTCTTCTGTAATTTCTTTAAATGTAGTATCTGGGATTTTGGGCTGGGATTTTTCTCCTGTCCCACTCTTCATAAGTTTGTCCTTTTCAGTGTCCCAGACTTTCTGGATGTTTCATGTTAGGTGTTTTTTATATTTAACTCTTTCTTTGATCACTGAATTTATTTCTTCCATCATATCTTCAGCACCTGAGATTCTTTCTTCCATCTCTTACATTTTTTGGCAATGCTTGCACTTTTAGTTTCTGTTGACTTACCAAGACTATCCATTTTGGAAACTCTGTTTGTTGTGTTTTATTTATTGCTTCCATTTCAGTTTACAAATACTTAATAGTTTCCTTCACTCATTCATTATATTTCTTTGTTTTCTAGACATTCTTTAAAGGATTTATGGATTTCTTTAAGGGAGTTTGTCATTTCCTCTTCAAGGTCTTCTATTATGTTCATAAATTGTTTTTATGATCATTTTCTTGTGTTTCAGATGCCTTGAAATATACATGTTTTACTGTCATAGTATAGCTGGGATCTGGTGGGATCTTGACTATTATTGATTTTGTTCTTATGCTGGCTGTCATGTAGGCATTTGGTTTTGAAATAATTATAGATCCAGGTACGGATTTCTGAGGTTGTCTTTGTTAGATGAATGTTTTGTTCCTTGGTTACTGTCATCTTTGTTTTCTGGATTTCTGGTGATCACTAAGACCTTTGATATGATAGGGAGTCTGTGTCTAAATTTGGATCTGTTTTTCTGGTAATTAGGTTGGCCTTTGTTGTAGTGAGGGGTGTCTCTGTTCTTCCGACTCATGTGGATTGGTTTTCTGATTGGTGTAGTTTACTCTTCTTCAATATGATTCTGCTAGAGTTGGAGGCAGGGCTTGGCAGTGGGGCTGGTAATGAGGAGTGTAGAAGAGGACCTCATGATGGGTCTTGAGAAGCAATGTGCAAAATGGTGCTGTTTGACTGGCAGGAAGAAGGTCACTCACCTGCTCTACAGACTAGTGTGGACAGAACATGAGTCAACGAAGTTTGCTGCTGTTATGGGGGGGGATATTTCATTTTAATGAATTTGGTTTGAAGACAGAGGGTCACTTAAGATGAACACTTCCCACGTGCTCCTATAGTAGTCTGAAATGTTAATTTGAATGATTTCATAATTTCATTATTTAAGGAGCTCTATTCAATATTCATTTAGGGGTCAGAATAAGGGAGATTGTGAATTCAAAGACAGCCTTGGCTACACAATGAAATTTTCTTTGAGAAACACTGTCACAAATTGTTTCATGAATCTGGTTTCTCTAGATAGATACCTGGTGTTTTCTTTTTAAATAACTTATGTAATTTACTGGTTTTTCATAAATAAGACACATGTGAGAAATTACTTAGAAAATGAATTGGAGGGACTGAGGGACTAGAGGACAGGACAGCAGAGAACTGACATAAAAATACTTAAGATCTGTTATGTTGTTCTTTCTCCAAAACAGAAGGAAACTTAATCATTATATATGTCTTTTCCCTTACAGAAGTTCCTTCAGGTCAAAATTATTCCAAATAGTTACTGGATTGGATTATTGTATAATGCAAGAAAAAACAAATGGCAATGGATTGACGATGACCCAACTAGCCTGTGAGTTTCCTAAATACTCACATTCTATAACAGTGGTATATGATTTGGGAGGATTGTGTGTGATATTGGATGTCATTCTGTATATATGTTGCCTTTATTAGGTAATGAATAAAGCTGTTTTGGCCAATGGCTTATCAGAGTAAAGCCATGTGGGAAATCTGAATAGAGATAGAGAGAAATGCCATGTAGCTGCTGAAGAAATAACATGCTGCACCAGTAATCCACAACCTTGTGGCAATACACAGATTAATAGAAATGGGTTAATAGTTAGAGCTAACCAGTTAGAAGCCTAAGACATTGGCCAAACAATATTGTAATTAATATAGTTTCTGTGTGATTGTGTCTGTGCAGCTGAGAAGTGAAAGTACAGACCCTGTTTAAATGTGCGCAAAGGCATTTCTCTTATTTCACATTGCTTTCCTCATTTCCTATGGAACTCATGGGTAAGAACAAGATGCATATCACATTGTTTGATTAAATGTTAGACAGGGAAGAGTAAAGGTCTAGAAGCTAACCGATAGTGATGTAATACTGAACCCACCTCAGGACTGTGTATTCTATGAAGTACAGGGCCCAAGCAAATAAATCAAAAGCTGTAGATGACATGAAATAACTGGATCACACTGACAGATACAATGAGTATGAGTATCTCAAACTTTTGTTAGACTTGTTTCTGTAGTTAGTGTATATAATTGTTTGCTATTTATAAATGTGAGAATATGTTAATGTGTACTTTCCATTTCAAAGTGTTGTACTGTATAATAAGATCAAAAGTTATTTCCAATCTGGTAGATAGCTACTCACTGTTTTCTTAATAATATTTCTTTAAAATATCACAATATACAGGATGAAATTTGATCATATTCACCCTTTACTTGCCCTCTGAACCTTTTCCTGACTGTATGCTAAAGTATCTACACGTACCTCAAGTTTTCTTAATTGATACTATTAGTGTATGGTTATAGGACATTCACTGCAGCAAGCAATCCAAGCAGTAGTCACACCCCCAATAAAGAATGAGTCTTCTATTCCAAAGAGCTGTCACCTAACAATACTGATTTACTAAAGGATAGAGGGCAGTTCCCCATCTATTCTGGATTTTTAGCTGGCTTAACCCTGTGCAGGTGGCATATAGGTAACCACAGCTGCTGAGTTTGTGATTTGACAGCCGTGTCATGTCCAGAAGGCAGCATTTCACAGAGCTTTTCCACATCGGCTGTTTGTTACATTTTTTTCCACTTCCTTTTCACCGATATTTCCTGAGTATTTGAGGTTTCTGGGAGGGGTTGGTGAAGACATCTCCATAGGACTGAACACATTTTCTCTTCTCTTCAGCATTTTGAGCAGGCCTGCCACTCTGTACAACCTAGGGCCTGTGACCTCCGTAATCATGGGTTTTGATTTAGATTACAGTACTGAACATGACATCCCTCATGTGATAAAGACCTCATGGCCATTAAAAAAGCATTTCTTCATCCTATAATGATAGTTCCATGGAACACACCTTGCCTTGCAGGTCAGTATTGTGACATGCAGGGTCCAGTGCTGGATAAGGCATTCATATCTTTTCTCCCTCTGAAGCCTGCAAAGCACTTTCTGATCAGTTGAGTGCTAGTCCAAGGGAAGATGTTTTCTGATTGACTTAAGACTGATTTACCTATGTCATAATGTCAAAGTGTGTGCTGTTTTTAGCATCACAGTCTTACCACATACTTATATTGGATAATCAAGAGCAGTTGCAATAGCCTATACTGTTTTGTTCACTTCTGTGATCTCTTTGACCAGTAATTCCTGTCTGTACTTTGATTTTCATTTAAAACTCACGTTTTATATGGTTCTTTTTTTTACAGTTACATTTTGGTTTTTAATTACACTTTCAATGTAATATATTTTGATCAGATTTCACCACCTTGAAGACCTCCCAAATTCTCCACACAACTCTGCCTTCCTAATTTAATGTTCTTTCTCCCTTTTTCTCCCCCAAATAAAAATGAAAGTGAAAATCAAATAAAACAAAAAAAGTCAGAGAAAAGGGCTAATAACAAACAAATACATGGAAAAGAGCAAAACAAAACAAAAAGTAACAAAAAACTAAACCACTACATAAACATGGAGTCTGTTTTTTGTTGGTCAAGTACAAGATTATCCATAAGGCATTTTGTACATCTTTGGTTTAGTTTATCCACCCCTCATTCTCTCCTGTCCCTTTTCCTCCAATTCCATTCCCATTTGATCCTTTATTCCTCTATTTTCATATCACATATTTACTCTTCCTCCTACTTACTTTAGAAATATAAAATGCTGAAATTTGTCCCCTAGGAATTTTATGATTTTTTATAAATAAATCTGCTAACTAGTTATACTTTTAAGTTTCTTTTTTTTTATTTATTTATTTAATTTTTTTTATATCATTTAAAATTTATTTGAATTTTTATTATTTTTGTTTTTAGAGATTCATGTCAGCAAGGCTTGCCTTGAAATCCTAATCCATATGTCTCCATCTCTTAGTTTCTAGGACTACAAGTGCCTGTCCTCTCCCTTTTCTTTTGAAAGATATCAACCATACTTATTTTACACACATTATGTGGTAATCCTTGTTAAAAATGCTGCAAGATCCCCAAAGGTGGCAGGCAGTGGGCCCTGAGAGCAGAGCAGTCCCAGGCAGAGACAGCTGCAGTCCCGACACATGGCGGGCTGGCTGGTTAGTCCCAGCGAGCCCAGGGGTGTAAACAGGTGGTGAGCAGCTTGAAGCTCGTGGCGGGTCACGGTGCCTGATCCCAAGCGGTGGGTCCCTGATTGGTAGAGTCGCCAGTCCAAGCGGGGTCCAGCCATGCGGGTCTGGGCTGGTCCTGTCTCCCAGAGAGTCCCTGGAAGGTGCAGTTTCCCAGAGGCAAGTGGCTGGGCAGATGAGCAGGTGTGAGACACATGGACAGGCACACCATACAGAATAGAATTGGATATTTATTACTTAGAGGGGAGAGAGGGAAAGAAAGAGAAGAAGAGGAGAGTGACAGAGAAGGGCCTGAGAGAGAGCATGTGCATGCCAAGAGAGAGGACAGTGAGAGTCAAGATGATGAGAGGGGGGAAGGAGCCGCTGGGAGTGGGCATGGCATGTTTCCTAAAGAGACGAAAACCATAACAATCCTAGTGTCTGAACTTCTTTGGGTTTAATGTACTGTTTTTGTGGATTTTGGTCATGATGCCATTTTCTTTGCAGTATCTCCACAGTTTCTACTTCAGCAGCTGCAGAAACTATCTGAAACACAATATTCACAGTGGTAACTTTTTCAGGAAACTTTCATTCAATGTCTGAGAACATGGCAGGTCAGGCTCACTTCAATTATAAATGTGCCCCACCAGGGTGAGAGCAAGTTTCCAAATTTTCAAGAAAATAGCTTCTTTTCTTTTCTCTTAGGACACTCTCAAACAGGCTGTCACAGCAGTGGCCAGGCTGTAACAGAGGTTGTCAGAAAACAGACTTCCTTTTGGGTGTATTGATGTGTTCAAAGCAAACAAATTAATTTCACTGTTATTAATCTTGTTTTTTCTCTATGAAGCATCCTTCCAAAAAGACTATGCTATTCCTGTCTATACCTCTTGAGAAATAGTATTCACTATGCATGGCCACAGAGTTCATGAATTTGTTTGTATTGTACAGCACCATACAGAGTGAAATGGGCAGGTGGTAACATTTAGAGAAAGGTGCCAGGGGTTGTTGCGGGAACTCCTTCTGCTCCTTCAGTCAATAGGCACTGAGATACCAGCCCATTGGGGTGTGGTGTCTCTATCTTTAAAAAAAGCAGCCGCTACCCTCTGCGCTCTCTCTCTCTCTCTCTCTCTCTCTCTCTCTCTCTCTCTCTCTCTCTCTCTCTCTCGCTTTCTGCTTTGCTTCCAGTGACTAGGCTCCCTTCCTGATTGTGCAGAGGGCTGTTGTCTGAGACGGTGATCTGTAAGTTTTTCCCCCTTAAATAAATAACCATCCTATTAATCATAATTCCAAACTGGTATGGGATTGTTTGTGACTTATGCCTTCAAGGGGTTGAGAGAATGCCTGTACCCAGGTTAAGAGATTTTTGTGGACCTTGACTATGCTGCAGAACTGTTCCCTGATGATGGTGTGGTAATTAGGGCCAGGACTGAGGCTGAGGTTTCAGTAAGGAAGCCTAGTGGTCAGAAGGTTTCTGTGAATAACATTCTCTGTTGGCTAGTCTTTGATGCTATTCTCATCAGGCTAGCCTGTTTAAAACTCTGCATTGCCCAAGCCATGACACCTTGTCCTTTTGTCACATGCATTAATTTTCCTTGTTTTCTAAATGTCTTTATTGAAAAAGCATCATAGAAAATCAACTTTAGAGTAAAATTATTTCTTAGTGATCCTAAAACTTAATTTTATATGATGATAAAAAATTAACAGTGTGGAATAATAAAGAATAGAATTATGATCAAGAAACAATTTTTCTGTTTATTTTTTAATTACAATGTTTATTTTTGTGTGAAATATATGTATTTGTGTGATCATGTTATAGCACATTTGTAGTTAGAGGGAAGTTGCAGGAGTCATTTATCTCCTTCTACTATGTGGTATCTGAGGGCTAATCTCTGGTAGTCGGGTTTGATAGCAATGGCTTCTATCTACTAAGTCATGACACCAGCACAAGGTCATTTTTATGATTTTAAAGAAAACAAAGAACCTTTAATCAAACATTTACAATTGATTCTTTATTCTATATAGATATTTGCCAATGAACTTTGTTTTTAGAATCATTGCCTATATTAATATATGCTTCAAAATTTAATAACTGCCTATTATATGTTTTGTTTTACAGTGATTTGATGACAGTGAAATCATTACAGAGAAGTGGAGGCTGTGCATTTCTCAGTTATAGAGGAATACATACTGATGATTGTGGTAGAAACTACCCCTGTATCTGTGAAATGAGAGTGGATAGATAACCTGATTCACTGTGCAATATGGAGGAAAAGTTAAAAAAATGAATTTTTATC